TGCAAGAGTCACTGTTAAAAATTCTTTTCCTGCTTGTTAGGGTAACTATTTGTCCAAGAGGACTTCTGGATAAATGAAAGACCATTCAGGTTTAGAAATATTTGTACCACCACCACCACTGGTGTTTCAGTCATGGCTGAAGGTAAAAGGAAGAGAGGAGCAGCAGATGATCTCTTAAAATATAGCTTGCACATAACACAGAGAACCTCCACACTTTCCAAGCTCTGCCCAGATTTCTCAAAGCACCAACTCTTGAACCACTTCTGTGATTTGGAGCCAGCTATTAGTTTCCATTAAGATGCTTGTGCAAAAGCAGTTTCCAGGTTCCTTCTGCAGAATGCTTGATCCCCCCAGTCCTTTCTGACACGCACAAGAATGCCATTTTATTATTTATACAGATCACATTGTTTTCCTCAGAGCATAATTTCAATTCTAATTCATTAATGTCAAAGCATAAAAGAAGCAACAGCACATAAAACAACAGAAGTTTGCCAAACCCAGAAGACAACAGCTGATAATTAAGGGTGTCCCATTATTTCTTGGCAAAGGAGCTTGTGTTTTCAGAGGCACATTCTTAAAGGGCCTCTCTTTAATGTAGCTGCATAATTTGCATGAATTCTATTTGCACAAATAAAGGTTTTCAATCTGCATAAAAGGAGGCTTTAATGTTCCCGTCATATCTGTACAATACCCATCCCATGCCCCTTCTCCCTGGCACAGCCCAGCCTGATGACAGGTTCACAGCACAGCCACTTGGCAAACCTTAGGGGGAGAGGGGGCACAAAAAACTGTTATGACTCCATTGAGATCTGGGCTTTTGTTAGCATATACCTGCTGTCCCCCCAGGTCTCATGTCATACTGACGTCACTGCAGGTAAAAGGCACTGTGTTGACCTGAAACTGCACATAAATCCTCTACCCAAGAAGAAACAGTTTAAATTTTCACATGCTCACCTCTGCCTCCTGCCCTGGAAGCCCTTCGCAGCACAGTTTCTGCTTGCTGCGCAAGTCCAACCCAAACAGACTTCGGCATCTTGCTTGTGTTTCCTCACATCAGTACACCAGCCACCGCTGGACATGCAGGGCTAATGGCAAGTCTCTTGTCTCTTTTTCTGTACATACAAAAAAATCGTATTTCTTACTGAAAAAAGGGTTTTAAACAAAATCATCAAATACTTTCTACAGAAAATTGGGCAAGAGCAAATTTTCAATTACAGTATGACTTATAATGGCAAATCTTCCATTAAGCCTGGTGCTAAAGGAAAAATAAATTTATTCCATAGCAAGATTCGGCATCAGTCCTAGATCTTCTTCACATTTTAGCAGTATTGCTACAGCAGCAAAACTCTACAAGGGTGCACACAGCCTCAAAATCCTTCTGGGTCCATGACAGTCAAAACCACTGCATTCCCAAGCAGAATAGAGGGCTTCTCAGAAATCAGTTCCTGATCTGCACAAGGCTACTTAGCAGATGTCTAGCTTAGACTGAGGCATCATATCACCTAGTATTTTCAAGAACCAGATGCTACGGTCTAGGAGTCTGTCAAAGGGAAAGCAAGGAGGGTGGTACACTGGTACACCTCCACCTGGGACAGGTTCCTAGGGGGAGAGCAGCAAGCAGGTTCTTACACCGCTTCGTCAATTATGAACCCAACAGAACCAGAAGCTGAGGTTCATCCACCCCATAGCAGGACTAACTCAACACTGCTACACTGGATTTAGTTTGATGCAAACCTGTCCTTTAGGGTACTGTCTCCTAGTGGAGCTTCCTTTTTGTTAACTCAGTTCTCCCCACTCATAACTCAGGTCTGTGCCTTCAGGTAAAGCGCTTTAAGTGGGAAAATACTGTAGCAAAGCAAAACCCAATTTACACTGGCATATCACTAGGAAAAGGCACAGGATGGTCACTAGAAGTGCAGCCCAGAAGCTGGAACATGGGTCAGAGCTGACAGTTTCCTTAAGAAATGGCAGGCAGAAGGGGATTATTGCAGGGAGTTCCTGTCTCAGCAAACTCAGCACAAACAAGCAGTATTCCTGGGCAGCTCAGATTTCTCACTGATGTGAGGGTACAGAGGCTAGCCCTCTCTGCCTGGCATTATGGTGACACGGCACGTTAATGATGTCAGTGAGCATTTGCACTTAACACAGATAACGCCATCTAATGAGTCCCTCCACCAGAAACGCTGCTGCCGTCGGATGTCCAGCCGCTTAATGTGTTTCCTTAGGAACAGAGGCAGTTGTGCTAAATTCCCACCACTGAGCTGCAAGAGAAAGCCTATCCATCCATGCGAGATCTAAGGTTTGTATTAATCTATGACAAAAACTCTTTCCTGTTCATTTCCTGTTCAGCAGCAGCCTAAATACCCGGACCCAAAGCCAGAAAAGAATGCAAACGATTATTTCCCCTATTACATGGGGAAATGCAAAGAGGACAAAAGGTGAACTTCACCCCTGTGCTGAAGGTCAGGAGAAGACCCAAGTAAAACAGTCTCTGAGTCAGAATGATTCAGTCAACAAGGTAAACAGCAAATTCCTCACATGGGAAAAAAAGGCCAAAGCTATTTTGTTTCGTGATTAACCAAGTTATCCAGTTAACTACACCAGATGTAGTCACGCATTCTGTGCTTTCAGTACTCCTTCCTGCCCTACCGCCACACAAAATTGCTGCAGACCCGGTCTACAGCTGGCGATGTTACTGACGCATGAATTTGTGCACCAATTATGAAACTAGAAGTCAAGCGCTCCTGCTCTCTGACTTCTGTGCTGATATCTATGACCCTGGAAAATTATTCTGGATTTTGGTAACTTTATAACAACAGGGCTGGAATATTTATTCATCTGTCAGAGGGACAGAGTGTATTAAATGCAGAATGTGATTGGCTCCTGTATTTCTGCATACACAGTAAGTTTCACCAACATGAGTAGGAGACATTGTGATCAAAACTGTTTCAATATTTAAATGTAAGAAGTGCTGTTTACAGACATGACACCAAACCTGTTATATTGCTCTTCACAGATATACATATCCATCCTTGTCAGTTGTCAGGAAAGTGCAAAAATTACTACCACAGTATGATTTTATCCAAGACACTCTAAGCTCATTGTGTTCTGTCATATTACACATGTTATCTCTTGAAATCAGCTATTCTTTACTGCAAGTGGCATGAAATCTTTTTGTTATATATACACCTTTTTCCATCGTGTTCATGCTTTCCTATATAGTCTCCACAGACTTCCATACAGAAATCTTGTAACTTACATCTCTTTCAGCTGGCCCATGGTGAACCTCGCTCCCAGAAAGGTTATTAGCATAATTTTGACGTTGTCTCTGTCACTTATCCAATGCACCCAAAAAAGAAAACCATGTGGATTTCTAATGATCACAGAAACAATATCTGAGTGCACTTCTCATACATGCTAGTTAAAAAAGAATTACAATTCCAACTCTTGTTTGCTTCTATCCAACCATAAAGGCACTGCAACCACTGTGTGTGAAGACAGCTGGATCTGGTCAAGATAGGCTGTTGAGTCGACAGCAATAAACACTCCTATTTAGCAGGTGATGATGGTTTTGCTTTCAACACCAGGGCACTAGGCTGACCTTTGGAAGGTAAAGTGCGCAAAAAATGTAATAGTTCTGTTACAGAAAGGTTAGCTCCTGAGGGTATATTTTCCACATTCAGCATCCAATACATGAAAAATGAAGCGAATATAAATAAACATTGTGGCATTTGATGACTTCAGACAGGGAGTAGTAGAAGACATTAGTGTAGACATGACAAGTTAGTAAATGGTACAAATGTTGGTTCAACCCATTTGATTGTCAAAGGTTAAGAGTCGCAAATTAAAGCTAGAAAAGGACTGGTGTTTCATGAGTTCCTGGAGAGGGACTTTTCCTGGAGAGAGCACGCAGTGATAGGAAAAGAGTATAAAAGAGGGTAAATTTAGTTTAGGTATTAGGAAGTTCTTCAATAAGAGGGTGGTGAGACACTGGAACAGGTTGTCCAGAAAAGCTGTGGCTGCCCCATCCCTGGCAGTGTTCCAAGGCCAGGTTGGATGGGGTTTTCACCAACCTGGTCTAGTGGAAGGTGTCCCTGCCCATGGCAAAGGGGTTGGAACTGGATGAGCTTCAAGGTCCCTTCCAACCCGAACTATTCTGTGATTCTATTAAAAACTCTGGCAACTTCTATGCCCGGGAATCAAATGAGACTGAGTAGAGCACTTGCACACTGGCAAGGCCATCACTTAAGCGCTTTACAAGCCGTGAGGTTTTCTATCCATGCGTGTAGAGCACCGAACACAGACCGGTCCACACATTTATTCTTCCACGCGAACCGCCGCCGCCACGCGTTCATGGCCCTCAAGGCTGGCTCGTGGCACAAGGCTGGTCCGCAGCTCCCGCTACGTGCTGCAGCCACCGCGCGGGTCAGGCGCTGCCACCTCGTGGACACCCACCGGGAGGGATGAGGAAAAAGGAAATGCAGAGCCCCACCGCTTCCGAGCTGAGCACGGCCCTCGGAGCCGGGAAATAACCCAGAGCTAGAAAGTAAGCGATACCCCACCGTGAGGGACATAGGGACACAGACACACAGACACTCCACTGCCCAGAAGCGGTGCGCCCATCCCGGCCGGCAGGGCAGCCGCTGCTCTGCCCGCCCCGCTTCCAAGAGGAGATAAGGCAGCTGGGTGTCCGAGGGGGCAAAGCTCGCCCTTTGGGACCTGCGGGACAGCGAGGAGGGCACAAGAAGGGGGTCGGGAGGGAGGAAGGGATAAGCCTCAGGAGCCTGAAGAACTTCGGCAAGCAGCAGCACCACCCACCTCTTCCGCCCCGGCGCGGTGGCCGCGCGCTAGCCCCGCCCCGCAGAGCGGTTGGTTAGGACGGATGGAAGGACAGCCGGGCCTGCCAATGAGAGAGGCTTGCGGCGCCGCCAAGCCAATAGAAGCTCCGCTTTTCGCTTCGCGCGTGGGGGAGTTTCAACCTATTGAGAAGTGCGTGGCGGCGGGGGCGAGGGGTCGGAGGTGAGAGCGGCGCCCCCGGAAGTAAAAGCCGGGTCGGCGCGGCGGTCCTTTCTGCTGCAGCTCCGCGGCGCGCACGAGGCCTCCCCGTGTGGGCCTGTGTGTGTCGGGCCGCTGTCCCGCGCCGCGTCGCCATGGTGAGGGCGGTGTCGCTACCGAGCGCGGGAAGGCTGGGGCGTGGGGCGCGCAGGCAGAGGGAGCCGCGGCCGTTAGCGGGGGGGGGGGGGGGGGCGGCGGGGCCGGGGGGAGCGGGGCGGCCGCGCTGACTGGCTGCTCTCCCGACAGAGCCTGCCCCTCAACCCGAAGCCGTTCCTGAACGGGCTGACGGGGAAGCCGGTGATGGTGAAGCTGAAGTGGGGGATGGAGTACAAGGGGTACCTCGTCTCCGTCGACGGCTACATGAACATGCAGGTGAGGGCTGTGGGATGGGAGCTGTCGCGCTGCCTCTAGGCCCCGGTCCTGAGGGGCCGGCGACGTGCGGCGCTTCTGAAGGGTCGGCGGCGCCTCGCCGGTGAGGGCGGGGCCATTCGGCTTCCCTGCCGCTGGGGCGGGCAGCGGGACAAAACCGCCGTGTGCTTTGCAAAGCTCCTTTCGTTGTAATTATTCTGATTTTATTGCTGGTTTCCTTCTCAAGCTTGCAAACACAGAGGAGTATATAGACGGTGCGCTGTCGGGACACCTGGGTGAAGTCTTGATAAGGTAATGAGAGTGTTGGTGGTGGGGATAGGCTGTCTAAATCTTAGCACTTGTATTAAATTATACCACTTGTATTAAAACTTGTATTGGTAGTGCTGTGTTTCTTGTCTGACTAAGACACTAATGTAGCTCTGTGTGAAGGCTGTGAACACAACAGTGATGTTGATATCCCTTCTGAGGGCAGGAAGAATGAATTTTTAATATTTCTAAGGAAGCATTTATGATCCTGTTTTGGGTAACAGTACTTTAGTTTTCTGGATTATTTTGTATCTGTCAATCCTTTGGCATTAAAGCTGGAGAGAAACACTTTAAAAGGGTGTGTAGTGATAAGACAAGGGGGAATGGCTTTAAGCTAGATGGCAGTAGGTTTAGGAAAAACTGTATAATATGGGGGTGGTGAGGCACTGGAACAGGTTGCCCAGAGAAGCTGTAGATCCCCCCCCCAGTAGTGTTCAAGGCCAGGCTGGACAGGGCTTTGAGCAATGTGGTCTAGTGGAAGGTGTCCCTGCATGTGGCAGAGGGCTTGAACGAGATGATGATTAAGGTCCTTTCCAACCCAAACCATTCTGTGATTATATGCTAACACATTGTTACTGAAAACATTTTGTATGCTGAAAAGTTAAACTTGACTCTATGCGTTAAGCCGAAAGTAAAAATTTCTTGTACAGCATTGTCAACCAGTTATTGCTTTTATAAACTTGGGGGGTGGGAAGGCAGGTGTGTGCAGTTGTAAGGAACATTGTGGAAAACATGTACATGGTCAACAGCAGCAATTTGTCATGTGGGGTTTGGCTGTGGTCAGGCTACACTAGAGCAGGAAATGCTTAAGGCTTTATATGTGGGGAAGGCTATAACACAACTAAGGACACTCTTGGTTTTTTTTACAGGTGCAATAATGTTTTGTACATCAGAGGTGTGGAAGAAGAGGAAGAAGATGGAGAAATGAGAGAATAGGTGTTTTGTATATCTGGAAATAAACTTTTTTGTTTTCCATACTTTTGTAACAAAGTGTTCACTTTTTCTTTTTTTCCTGTTTTAATATGGGGGAAATTAAACCTTAAAAAGGCCTTTAATCTTTTATAGGTGTCTGAAAAACTTATGTGGAAGGAACAGACGATTATTTAAATTTAAGCTGAAAATATTAGAGTGGAAAATGAGTATTTAAAAAAACAACCAACCAAACCCAAAAGACCCTCCCAAAACAACTTTTAAGTATTATCAGTGTCAACAAATGCCATTATTGTGAAGGGAAACACCTGAATTTTAGTGATTGATGGACTGAATTAAATCTGCAAAGTTGTGTGCTGTGAAGGTAAACAGATGCGTGATGCATGTGTCAGCTCAGTTCAGTGTGGCTGTCAGCATGCTGCTGTCAGGCAGACTAACATATGGAAGGTGAAGAAGGTTTCATCATATGTATGTTGATTTTCTGTTGTTCTAGCCGCACTGCTGAGGGGACAAGGACCTGCAGGAATAGCTGTTTCTAATAATGATAACACAAGCTGTGGAATGAGCAACAGAAAAACTTTTAAAAAACATCCTGATGTGCCTGCTGCAGACTGCTGATGATTTTTCTGTCAGCTCTGAATTGTTTCATTGAGAGGATGCAGCTATACTGCTTTGTAGCCTTATTTTAGTAGAAACAAGATTTTGACTCCAAGTGAAAAACTGTAACTCATTCAGTGTTTGCAGGAACCTTGTTCTTAGTTGTGTTTTCTGCTTTAACAGCTGAAGGCTGCAAACAAAACACAGTTATCTTCCCATCTGAAACACAGGGAAAATACAGCAGTCAAGACCTCTTACAGTATGTATGCAGTTACTATTCAAATACACTTAGTATTTCAACCTGTCTATAAACTGTTTGGAAATAGCTGTGAAGGCTTCACTGCAGGTGAGCTGTGAAGATCTGTTATACTACAGTGTCTCTAAGAAATACTCTGCTGCTTTGAGTCACGAAGCTTAAAGCGTGGCTGTACAATCGTAATCAAGGAAGGACAAATTTGTACCGCTACTAGCCAATATCCACGCAAACAAAAGGCCTCTTGGCAGTTACCAATTTCTGAGGAATTTAGTGGCCTTGGCAGAGTTAAGATGACACGCTGCAGAATGGGAGTGTACACAGTCTGCAGAGAAGAGAAAGCCCCTCTGATACCCAGTATCTGGAGTGTTAGTTTTGGCAGGTACACAATAACCACGTTTTCCAATGTTAAGAGTAAACACTGAGGTTAACAGAACCCATCCTTTACCTGTCAGTACTTCTTGGTGAAAGCAGGTGAGTGCTTTGCAATGCTGCCAGTCAGAGACCCTCTTTGAAGGTCTCTGTGATGCAGTTCATAGAAGTGGTCCTGCAAACTGGAACCCAGACTGCTGGAGGTACAGTTCATGAGTCTCAGTTACAACTATTGTTACTCTGACCCTTCACTCATCACTTAATTGCTCTCAAATAGGAAGTACTAGCCCTCTTTGACACATGGGGAAAGTAAGAGCTGGGCAAAAATCAGGCAGTGACCCAGCTGCAGAAGTAACCTTGCTGCTAGGGAACTTGCAGCCAGATAATGGTCATCAGTGGGGCTTGAATTGCTGGGAAAGCTGCTGCTGTACCTATACCTTAGTTTCCACTGAAAAATAGAAATGGTAACTTGTCCCCCTCAGAGAGTTTTGAGCTAAGTGAAAAAGTTCCATGTAAAAGCTGCACAGGTGGTAACTGTGGTTGGTGCACACAGAGTGCAGATCTGGACCTTCAGCTGGGATCATTCATCCCTTGTGGGATGGCTGGAGTGAGGAGTGCTGGAGGCTGTGGGCTCCATCAGGATATAACACTGGTTGTGTGAACTGTGGGGAAACCCCCAGCTTTTTGGGATAAATTCTGCAGAGAAATACTGCCCTGTTTCTTTCTCACACTGGAAGTCATCCCTGTAGCTCTGCATGTGTTCCTTTAATATTTACATTTGTAAGTTGTCGTAAAAAGTAAAAAATTACATTTGAAGTACTTATGAAGCCTTTCATTATTTAAACCATTTCCTTTTTGGCAGCTTGAAGGCTTCCCAGCTCTCCTGGCAATTGTAAGGCAATCCCTTTGGGAAAGAGAAGAGTTGCTGAAGTTGAAATTGATACTGGCAGCTTAGGAATCCTCAAAACAGCTAGAGTATGTGTTCTAGTTAAAGTACTTCCAGTGGCAGGAAGGAGGCAAAAAAGCATCTGGTCTGTGATACAGCATGGCCGGTTTAGCATCTGCATGATGCAGATCAGTGCCCTCTCCGTGTTGTCACTGATAATCACAGTGGGTTTGGTATTGGAAGAGGAGAAGATTGTGACAGTTGCCTTCTCATCCCATCGATTCCTTCTCTGGAGCAGCCTGGTGCTAACCTGAAAGCTGCTCCCTCAAGTGAGGTAGAAGTGAGGCTGGTGGGAACTGTTAAGTATGACCCTAGCACTGCATCAGCAGATGGTGCCATCGCTATGAGAACACACCATGTGTTTTAATCCTTCAGCTTTTCGGAATAATGGTTTGGGAAGCCCTGGTGTATGCTGAACCACGCCTGTGTCTGCAGCTGAATGTGACTGGTTCCTCAATAAAACAGAGGCCTCTGTCTGTAAAAAGATGTCTTCTGAGTTGTGCTGTACTGACAGCATGCTTAGTTCCTCTCATGAGGGTAAAGAATACCTGACATACCTGATGTACGCTGTGTCTAGGTGAAAACGGTGCCTAGAAGAAAAGTGAACAGAAACAGTGCCTAGAAGAAACGGTGCCTAGAAGAAAGCTACACTAAGATGGATAATAAGATGAATAATAGAAAAATATGATCTTAGTGAGAGCTAAGAAAACATAGGTTTTTCTCCCTCTTTCAAAGACTGAGAGCACCTGCTTTATAGAGCCTTGGGTTTTCATTCTCAATGAAAGCATGCTTTCATGTAGCTTCAGATCCTTTTGAGATATTAAGTGTCTACAGGTTGTTTTGTTTTGATGGGTATATTCATTAGACTTCAAACTCAGAAATCTTGCATAGGACCAGGCATCAAACACAGTGACTAAATCATACCTTGGCGTATAACTTCATAGCTAATCTTAGTTCTGATGGCCATGCACTGCAAAGATGGGTGCATGTGTTTATCTTCGCACCACAAAGCATTCCGTTCGAGTGGGAGAACCCATGCAGGTAAAGCTGCACAAAGCCTTACATGTGCTTAATTCAGATTTTGGTTTTAGGTGGTATGAAAAGAATTGCCATGCAGGTGAAAGTAAGGTACTCTGAATATATCAATGTAATAGGGGCTGGTCCTTAGTTGGTATGGAGTAAGCCCCATGAATTCAACAGATTTTCCTTTCTCCTGGAGCAAGTCCAAAAAACAGAACTGCAAACGTTCACTTATGTATGTATTAAAGAAAAATAAAATAAATAAAAGGGCTCATGATTCTATTAAAATATAAGGTATACACAGTAACTGAAATTAAGATGCTTTCATGTGTTTAAGTTGCTCAAATTGTATATAAGATAAAAGAAATCAGACCAAGTAGCAGGACATTCCAGCAGCAAAAGCTGCTACCCTGCAAAAATACTTACTAACTATAGTAAGAAGTTATGTAGTCAAAAAGAGCCAAGAAAGACTTACAGCAGGACATGAGAAATACAAAACGTGTTGTTTTGAGCTTGTTTGCATTACTCATTTGAGTACAGGTGAAAAGGTGTCTAAAGAAGATTGCCACCACCAGAAAGGTGTTTGAGGGACCACTCATTTGGAAAGACTCTGGGAATTGCTGAAGCCCTGTAAGTGCTATGAATGTTTGGAGAGAGAAGAAAACAAAAATCCATGCTGAGAATAAATACTTGCTCCCTGATTCTCCCATTCCTAATTCTGTAGGGGGCAGCAGACTTGCACCTTTCAGTCGTGGAATTGGATAAATACCTGCTTGGATATCTGGTTCGGTGAGAGAGGTTTTCGTCCCTCGGGCTGGTGCTGGGACACTGGAGAGATGATGGATGCTAACAAGGTGATGGACACTAGGGAGGTGATGGGTGCCAGGGAAGGGAGATGTGGGCAGACAAATGCTCCCAGTTCACAAGCTCTTATTTTCTTGGCAAAGTGAAATCTCCAGGTTGTACAGTGTGGACAGAGGGCTTTGGGAATCCCCGGATGGCAAAACTGGTGCTTTGGAGCCTAACATAAACCAGCACCGTGTACAGGTATTGCCACGTTGCCCTGCACCACGTCAAGAACAGCATCCCTCACCTGGGGCAGGCAGCTGCCACATTGACCCTGCAGCTTTTTTTGCCCAAATTCTGCCAAGTGGCGGATGTGGCCGGGGTGTGAACGGTCACCGCCATCCACCTCGCCCCTGCCCTGTCCGGGTAGAATCATGCGGCCCCTCCTGCCCTGCTGCCCACCTCCGTGCCTTCACCCTCTAGGGGGAGGTTGGTAAGCAAAGGCCAACCCGGGCACGGGCAGAGTCAGGGGGTCAGGGCCAGGCCCGCGGGGCCGCAGGCGGCCTCCCCAGCACCGCCCCGGGGGACTTTGAGCCGAGGAGCGGCCCCCCTTGCACCGCTCGTCATTGTCCGCACCGCCGAGGGCCATGGCGGGCCGGCACCGGCTCCTGCTGGACAACGCGCAGCAGCTGGTGCTGGTGTGCGCCCGGGGCGAGGAGTACCTGCGGCGGCAGGACGCGGGCAGCCTGGCCGTGCTGCGGGACGCCAGCCTGGTGGTGGGGCTGTGAGTGCGGGGCCGCGGGGCCGGGGCTGGCTGCGGGAGGGGGTTGCTGCCGCTGCCCCCGCCGCGGTGGCTGCCGCCGGCTGCCTCTGGCCGGGAACAGGGCACTGCAGCTGCCTGCCTGTGTGGAGCGGGGCTTTGCAATCCCCATAGGATCACAGCATGGATGCTGTTGGAAGGGACCTTAAAACTCATCCAGTTCCAACCCCCCTGCCATGGGCAGGGACACCTTCCACTGGACAAGGCTGCTCTGTCCAACCGGGCCTTGAACACTGCCAGGGATGGGGCAGTC